TATTATCAATAACCTGTTTCATGCAACATAGTTTAGAATTTTTAAATAGCAATTACAAATGTTTTGATACAAACACCCAGGGGAGTTTATAGAAATTGAAAAGATCAGGGACTAATTCAAGTTACCAGGGACTTGACTTTTTTCTTTTTTGAAGGAAGATTGGCATCAGGGGTAAAATACTTGGGAATACAGCCCTAACTGATCTGGCCTAACGACGCCCATGCAAACACTCGAAAGAATAAAAAAAAAATATTCATAATCTTCAAGACAACGTTACACAAAGCAGCTGAATCTTTTCACAATTGACATTTTGCAGTTTCACTTGACCAGATCTCCATCCTGATCTCCAAACTGTACCTGACAGAGTGTGGAGGAGCAGGAGAGAGATCTCTACTCAGTTCCACTGTAATGAGTGACACTCACCTGTGAGCCCAGCAATGAGAAGAAACAGGAGCATCAGAGGATCCATTCGTGTGTGTAACTGAGCCCAGATCTGTGGAGAGTGACAATCACTTCCTCATTCTCTGTACCTTCACTGTCTCTGTCGTTTCTATTCTTACACACAGCAGGCAGAGTGAAGGGGGAGTGGACACTTTAAACAGGATGTGACAAAACCACAAGGCTATATGTTAAGCCCTTCAAAAAGTCAGACCATTATTATTAGTCTGTAGAGAATAAAATAAACTATCAATGCATAGACTCCATTAACAAAATTAAAAATCTGCATGTATAAAGAAGACTTGAATTAGAGTTACTGTGTATATATAAATTGTTCCAATAAGACATAAAATATAGTTGGATCTCCCTGTTGTCTCAAAGATTTATCTCTGTTTTATCATAGTTATTTAACAGTAATATAATTATCTAGGTCCTAATGCTGGAAGCACACAGTGTAAAGTGAGGTAAACCTTCAACTGCACGTCAGTCCATTGCAGGGCACTGGAACCTGGAGAAATGCCATGTGATCAGAGGAAGCCTGCAAACTGCACACAGACACAGTCATGGTCACATTCAAAGCCAACAGTCAGGAGTGCTGAGATAGCAGGTGTATTAGTCAGATATCTAATATCATGAAGAGCTAAAGACACAGAGGGATTTTGAGGAACCACAGCAAGACCAACAGAGGACATGGGCTCTTGACAGTAAGGCCTCAAAATCCACCAATTCACTGCTGCAGTCCAGTTGCTCTTAGCTGCTTTTGCAACCAAAGAAAAAAAAACTTAAATCTTCAACTTCCCTACTGTCCTGTGTTAAACATGTGACTCACAGCCATTTTCTGCGGCTTCACAAGTAAACAGAAATAAACTGTGAGGTATTAAACAATGATGTCATGGCATGTCAGAGACAAAAAGTACCTGTTTGTCTCATCATTGCTTGTCTGGTGATTAATATCACTTCTCCTGTCAGTCCGTGTCCCTTTTTGTCCAAGCCTTCTCATTCTGATTCCTCTGGTCCTGTTAATTTCCAGTCCCTGTGTGTGTGTAGTTCAATCAAACCCCCTTTCTGTTTTGCCAGACACCTGCCCTTGAGTCCTGCATGTTGTGACAGAGTGATTGAACTCTGCAATTCAATTCAATTCAATTCAATTCACTTGTATAGTGCATTTTCCCATTACAGTGTC